ATCCTTTCGTCTCGGGCTGCGAACTCGCCTGTTGTCTGGTTGACTATAAGTTAAGAGTCACTGAAGACTATCACCTCATCTGCTTCTACTGCTACTGCCAGTTTCAGTCCTATAATCAGTGCTTCATACTCTACTTCATTGTTTGAGGCCTTGAACCCTAAACGAATGGACTGCTCTAGTATCTGTCCATCTGGAGATACCAGTACTACTCCTGCCCCCGCTTCTTATCGGTTTGAACTCCCATCAACAAATAGTCGAAAGGAGTCGCCGATATAAATGCTGTAAGGTCTGAGATTTTCACCATTCCTCTGTTCTGTTGCCTTGGGCTGGTTTTCTCTTTGCTCGTTTGGGCATCGTTCACCTCGGCTCCACGGAGCCCGATGTACGATGGATTCTGGGGTGAACTCGGCCACGAAGTCGGCCAAGACTTGGCCTTTGATTGTTGTTATAGGTTTGAACTCCAAGTCGTACTAGCCCAAGGCTACTGCCCATCTGGCTATTCTGCCTGTCAAATCTCCCTACTGCAATAGGGACTTCAAAGGGTGTTCAATTAGCACCACAATTTTGTGGGCTTGAAAGTAATGGTTCAGCTTCTTTGAAGCCATTACTAAAGCTAGCGCCAACTTCTCTAGGGGTAAATACCTGGTTTCTGCATCAGCCAGGGTTTTACTTATATAGTAAACAGCCCTTTGTTCCCATTTTCCTTCTCGTATTACCACTGCACTTACCACATGTTCCGAAACTGCCAAGTATAGGAACAGCTCCTCTCCAGGTTCTGGATTTGAAAGAACTGGAGCTGTGGTCAAATACCTCTTCAAGTCAGCCAAGGCGGCTTCGCACTCCTCCGTCCATAAGAAGTCTGTGGCTTTCTTCATTAAGCTGAAGAAAGGTTTGCACTTGTCTGAGCTTCTGCTTATGAACCTATTCAGGGCTGCAGCCCTTCCAGTCAACATCTGCACCTGTTTTGCAGACGTCGGGCTCTTCAGCTCTAGGATGGCTTTGATCTGATCTGGGCTAGCCTCAATGCCCCTTTTGGTCACCAAGTATCCCAAGAACTTACCAGATTCAACTCCAAATGCACACTTTGATACATTGAGTCGGAGACGATATGTTTTAAGGATATCAAAGATTGCTTTTAGGTCGGCCAGATGACCTTTAGGTTCCTTGGTTTTTACGACCATGTCGTCGATGTAAACTTCCACTGTTCGGCCAATCAGGTGTCTGAACATCTTGGTTACCAATCTCTGGTAAGTTGCTCCTGCGTTTTTCAACCCAAAAGGCATCACTCTATAGCAATACAGCCCTTTTGGGGTGATAAACGCAATCTTTTCCTCATTTGGGGGTACATGACTATCTGATGGTACCCCCTATAGGCATCTAGGAAGCTCATCCTTCTATGCCTTGAAGTGGCATCCACCAGTTGGTCAATCTTGGGTAGAGGAAAACTGTCTTTGGGACAGGCCTTGTTTAGGCTGGTAATGTCCACGCAGACCCTCCATTTACCATTCTTTTTCTTTACCAGCGCTGTGTTCGATAGCCATGTCGGGTAATTTACCTCTCAAATGGCTCTGGCCTCTAGAAGTCTGTCTACTTCCTCTTCCATTGCTTCAACGTGCATCAATGTCGGTCTTCTTGCTCGTTGGATTACAGGTTTGGCCGACCTGTCTACATTCAGTTTATGGCAAGTGACCTCGGGGTCAATGCTAGGCATTTCATAAGGCGTCCAGGCAAACACCTCAATATTTGCTCTCAAGAAAGCCTCTAACTCTTTTTCCTCTTCTTCGGCTAAGCCCGAGCCGAGAAGGAAAAAGCATTCTTTATCCCCCTCTTGGACGAGAATTTCCTTCAGTGCTTCTTCACTCTTCTCGGCTGGCTCCTTGCCGACGTCATCTAAGACCTCCACGTCCTTGTCTTCGATCTTTGCCCTTTCTAGTTCTCGTATGCTGCAGGTGGATTTCATTGCTGCCATGAAGCAGTTCTTTGCCTGCAGCTGATCTCCTCTGACCTCCTCTATCCCATGCTTTGTTGGGAACCGCAATAGTTGATGCAATGTTGAGGGAACAACCCCCATTACATGCAACCATGGCCTTCCCAGGATAGCATTGTAAGGGGAGGGTGTGTCGATTATGGTGAACTCTGTCTTTATTTTTCTGGTGCCAGCCTGCACCTCCAAGCTTGCTGCTCCCAGTGGCCACGTCGACGTTCTATTGAACCCGATCATTGGGCCATTGGATTGCTCTATATCGTCTGGGTGAAGGCCAAGCTCCTTGTAACACCTGACATACATGATGTCACAAGAGCTGCCTTGGTCAATTAGGATGCACTTCACTTGGCACTCTCCAACCTGGAGGGATACTACCAAGGCATCGTTATGCGGATGTTGGACCATCTCCAGGTCGGCTTCAGTAAAGGACACTACTGGTCCCTGGCACTCCTCGGTTCGAGGTCTCTTCTTCTAGACCTGGTACCCATGCTGCAAGTGTTTTACCTTCTGGGTTTCTCCCCGTATTTCGTTTTCGTTGACCTTCGAGTGAATTACATTAATTACCCGAGGTCCTCCTACCTATGGTTGTTGTGCTAGGGGAGGCGGAGCTGCTGGTGCCTGAGGCAGTATTGCCTACTCTTCCCTTGTCCTGGCCTTATCTACAAGGTCCCTCAAATGGCCTTGCCTTACTAGGTCTTCCAAGTGTGCCTTCAGGGCTCGACAACCCTGAGTCATATGCCCATCTTCGTTATGGTAAGCACAATGCTTACCAAGGTTTCTTCCCATAAACTCTCCTGGTACCCTTGCTGGTGGTCTGAAATAGGGTTGGGTTCGGATTTTATCCAGGACTTTCTGAATTGGGATTCGGAACATAGTTGTGACTGCCTATGCAGCCCTCAGTCCTATCTCTTGCTTGTTGGATCCATTGTTACCTTGACCTCGCTTCGGCGAGCCGTTTCCTTTCTCTTGCTTTGTCGCCTTGGTTCCTGGCGTGTCCTTCTCGGCTCTGGCATATTTCTCAATTCTGGCCATGAGCTCCTCTATACTTTTTGGCAATGTCTTTGCTAGTGATTGATTTTCGGAGTAGGCAACCATCTTTCAGGCCATTTTTAAATGATACGACGGCCACTTCTTGGTTGCATTCTGGTATTCGGTTGAATACCTCGTAATACCTCTTGGCGTAGGCCCTCAGGCTTTCGTCCTCGCCAATCTTCAGAGCCATCAGGGCGTCTACCCTCAAGGGCTATAATTTGTTTGTCACGAACCTGGCCACGAACATCTCGGCCAGGTCTTCACACTTCCTTTCGGCAATTTGTGAAACCAATCCGATGTAATCTCTCCGAAGGATGAGGGGAACACTTTACAGAGCAACGGCTCATTCCCAGTGTACAATGCCATCGAGTTTAGGTATAATCCGACGTGAAAGTTGGTGTCCGACTAACCATCGTATATCTGGAACCTCGGCATACTGAATCTTTTCGGAGCCTCAAATTTGTCCAACTCCACCGAGCATGGTGTTCTCGGCTTAACAGGGGAAGTTATCTCAGTATTTTGTTGCTTCCTCTTGAGGTAATCTCTCAAGTCCTCTTTGGTCCGCCCAGGAGCTCGGCTATCTCCTGACTTCAGTCTTTTCGGTGCACTACTCTCAACATCATTGTGAGCCATTTTCGACCTTTCTCCATTAGTTGTGTCGAAGCGCAGCTCCTGCCTTTGAATATGCCGATGTTCTCTGGCGTTTGCTTCCTTGGTGCGATGTGTCCTTCGAGATTCTTCCCTCCTCGACTCTCCTAGCCCGACCTCCCTTGAAAGCCGGTGAGAGTGTTTTTCGCTCCTGGTGTGCTGGGGGGCTACAGGGATAGTTTTTTGTCCTCCCTTCTAGGCATTGGCCGCTGCAATCGGCGTGTCCTGCAGCGGGAACGGTGGCTGCATGACGTTGTTTTGCATCATGAAATTGACGACCGATTGCAGGTCTGCCAATTTGTTCGCCATCTCTTTCACCTCTTTGTCCCTCCAGAAGCATCTATCTTTCCATACCTGGAGGTTGTCCTCGTTGTAATACCCGCTCCGATCCGATTTCTTTGGTACGTCGCCCTCTTGGCCGACGTCTTTCTTGCCGTGGTTCTGGTCCTGAGTCTTCTTGTTGCAACCATCTTCCTCCATGTTAGGGTCAACGTGTTTACCGTTCCCAGCAGGAGTTTCGTTCCCAACCTTATCCTTCTGTTCGTCGCTGGCCATCTATTCTCATTTCTTTCCCACAGAAGGCGTCAAATTGTGTGTGTCAATTTCCGACCACACTGTCAAACTAGTATTCAACTGGAGAGCACTGGCAGAATAGATGGCGCCTAAATGACCTGTAACAGAAAGAAGAGATTCCAGCGGTGGCTAGTCCACCCGGGAGCACTCCGACGATCAAGTCAGTAAAATATCTCTCAAAGATAATCAATAGTGCTTAACTCACTATTCAGAATATAAATTGCATACCTTCGACCCATTGAGGGTGCCTCTCTTTTATAGCCAACTCAATCCTAGTCTCAATAGAAGCCTAACTTCAATGGACTTCAGCTCAGTGCTTATCCTGGACTCTCCAATAGATAAAGATAAACTCCCTAAAAGCTTTATTCTTATCCAGGCTGAGTTCCTTCCTCATTCTAGGACTCTTGTCCCTTATCAGCTTATCCTGAATTCTGATATTTTCGGAGATAACTTTGGCCTAGCCGAGATCACGTCGGAGTCACAACTAGGACACGTGGCACCTCGGCTTACACGTCGGCGTCACCTTAACCACGTATTGGTACTCAGAAAATATATCCCCACACATGTATTTTTTTTTATCATTATTTTTATATTATTTTATATATATATATATATTTTTAAATTACACATGTATTATATACGTGATTCGTTAATATATATATATATATATATATATAATTCAAGACCTACACATGAATAGGTCTAATTATTTGAGAGGATTGTGTCTAATTTTATAATAGAATTCTATGTGCCTGTGATTTTTCTATATATATTTGGGCATCTTGAACACAACTTGCAAGTTGAGTGATCAGCTTCATTAACAGGTTACATACCGCATAAGCTCATAGCCCAATCTTTTCTCTCTGGTGATCTGCCGGAATCCATGGATACAAAGGTCATCTCCACTGGAATCAGGTACACGAGCTTGCCTGAAAGTTATGTCAGGCCGGAGTCAGAGAGGCCGAAACTGTCCGAAGTGGAAGACTGCCAAAACGTTCCGATAATTGACTTGGGTTGTGAAGATAGAAGCTTAATAGTCCACCAAATAGGCCAGGCTTGTCGATTCTATGGATTTTTCCAGGTTTTTATTCATCCCCTTTTGTTTTAAGTTATTTAACTCATATAAAAATTAATTATAGAATTAGACAATCATTTTCTATAGACGTGTCACCTACAAAAGAGAAAAATTTTATATAAATAAAGTCTGATTTTATAATCGATTTATATGTTATTAGACATTTTCTTTTCTTTTCTTTCTTCTTCTTTTTTTTTTTTATTTTTTATAAAGTATATATTAGTGAATTAATAATTTAATTATTGCACAAATCGATATCTCTTCATATACTCAAATTTAGGACTTTACACATCAAAATACCCTCTCAAAATTTAGTGAATTGGTTTTTAATTACATATACATATATATTGTACTTGTTTTTTTCTTTTCTTTTTTTATAAAATGGTGGAGACGTCGATAAGATCCTTTGGACCTATTGATTGAGAGTTTACTGAATCGAGTGAACGAGATGAGATCGAACGCAACAATGACAATTCTTAAGCCTAAACTCTAATTGTTGTAGGTGATAAATCATGGAGTATCAATGGAAGTAGTGGAGAAAATGCTACAAGTCTCGAATGAGTTTTTCAATTTATCAGTGGAGGAGAAGATGAAGCTCTACTCGGACGACCCGTCGAAGACGATGAGACTATCAACGAGTTTTAATGTGAAGAAGGAAAAGGTTCACAATTGGAGAGACTATCTCAGACTCCATTGTTATCCTCTTGATCAGTATGTGCCTGAGTGGCCTTCCAATCCCCCTTCCTTCAAGTAACACCTCTCTCTCTCTCTCTCTCTCTCTCTCACATATTTACAATTAATTTATTCAATTTTTATTTTTTTCTCGACATAAAAGGGACATAATAAAAAATTAAAAAGAAAGACAATTTCAAAATAGGGATGGCTCCTAAGTGGGTAATTATGGTCCGGATTAAGGTAAAATTAAGATTAATCTGTCATTTATGATTTTTGAAAAATTAAAATTAATTTAATTGGTTTAAATTACGGAATTAATCCGAACCAATTCATTTAAATACTGATTGGATCGGTTTAGGACTATTGATTCATATAATTAAATAACAAAAAAATATATATAACATTTTAATTTCATAAAATCATAAACATAGTATCACATTAATTCCACAATAGTAGCATGCATTTCCATAATAACGACATAGAGTTTTAGAATTTAAACAATCATAAGAAAACTACTTCCACCATAAGTATTTAGACCATTATAAATTAAAACTAAAAACTAACAAACAAAACAATAAAAAAGATACTAGACGAAAGGGTATATAACATAAACATAAGTTATTTGTATATTGTTTGGATCGATTCTAATCCGTAACTATAAGGTTGAATCCAGAATCAATCCGTAAACTATGAATTTATAATTTTTCAATTCAAAATTAAATCACGAATTCAAAAATTAATCCAAATTTATCAAATTAGACTGATCAAATTAAATTACGAATTTTACGTATTCGATCCTCAACCTAACACCTAATAATAGGACAAATAGTAAGCCGCACTTTTGCCGTAAAAAAGATTACGTATCATTTGTGAATTCAGATTACTTTTAATCTTTTTTCTGTAGTGTTTTTTTTAAATATTTATTTATTGATTTACTGAGTTATTTATGTAAAAAATTTTGAAAAAAAAATGATCTTATATATCATCTACGGAATACAGAAGTGAGAATTGGAGACAACTATCCTCTTTTTCTGGTTTACAGTGATTTTTCTCTCATAAATATAAGCTTTTTGGTTGGGAGAATTTCATCCTAATAGATTTCACATGTAACTTTACTTTCACACGTGCTCCATATCTGAATTCAGATTCAGATGTAACAATGCTATAGCCTCTTTTTGAAAGATAGTAAAAAGTTATTTTTTAATTTTTAATTTATTTTGATTTATACATTTTTTACATTATTTTTAAAAAAAATTAAAAAATTAATTTTTAATTAATTTCTCAAAACAACCTATTAGTAAAATAAATAAATAAATAAAACTTTTTGTAGTGGACAAATTAGGTCCGCCCAAATGTGTCAAAATGTGCTTTTAATTGAGACCCCACCTTTTTTATTTGCATTTTTTAAACATGGAACATGAATTCGGTTTGCACTTTCATTATAGCATTTCGACTGTGCACACTCAAAGTTTAATTTAATTGTGGCCTAAATTTAAAGAAAAATTGTTGAGAAGTTCATTGTTTTGTATTGATTGTAATGATATGGTTAATAAGATAGTTTGATAAAAATGAAAAATTATTATTTTGAAAGATAATTTTATTATGTTTTTACCCACTATTTCTAGATTGTTAGTCACCAGCAGGCAGTAGTTAATGGTGACAGTAATATGCACAAATAGCAAATACATAGATAGATATGTTATGTAAACATATAGGTGACGTAAACAAATAAGTAAAAGGAAAAATTACAGTTCATTGGAAAGTTCAAAAAAACTACAAATTAATGGTAAAATTTATTAACTTTAATAATTAACACTATAATATATAAGAGTTTTGGAGATTAAATTTTTTGGTTCCTAAAATGGAAATTTTTATTGTAAAAGACATTTAGGGACTAATTTTTGTCGACATGAGGATAGTCGTTAAAAGGTTGTCCCGAAAAATAAAAAATAAGGTTTTTAGTGACAAAATTTTTAAAAATGTCACTAATAAATACATTTTTAGGGACAAAATAATCTAATCTAAAAAAAGTTTATTTTTTAAGACAAAAAATTTGGTCCTAAAAGATAATAATTCATCACTAATGTCAAATTTTCGTTGCTAAAAATATAATAACAACACTTTTTACAAAAAAAAAATATTTGCTCCCTAAAAAATAATTTTGTTCATAAATTTTGGTCCCTAAAATTTTAATTTTTTTGTAGGTAAAGTGATAATTTTTTTCATGATTTTTCAAATTGTTTTTATCTTTCCTTTTTAATTTCATTCAATAAAGCTTCGTTTAGCATTGGTTACAGTAACTAACTTTTTTGTGTTGAGACTTTTTTAGCCTAACTTTTTAGTGTCGTTTGGTTTTTATTTTTGGACTTTTTTGTATTTTGTGAGAAAAAAATTATAACAATTATGATTTGAATGTGACATTTTATTTTATTAATTTGTATAATTTATTTTATCTTTTTATACTTTTTTTAACCTCAAAATATTTACTAAACGGGGAGTAAATCAATCAACACATCAGTAAAGCTATACTTTAATATATATATATATATATATATATTTAAACAAAGTTAGTAGTACTGTACTACATCGATATAATATATCAAACGTGCTACGTAGCCCGAATGTTAAGGGGCTCGACTGCCCCAAAATTTCAAACGACGTCGTTTGAGATTTTTTTTTTCCCCATTTTCTTCTTCCTTCACCCTCTTCTTCTTTCCTCCATCTCTGCTCTGCTGCTCCGGAAATTCAACAAACAAACTCAAAAAAAATTATAGGTTTTTTCACCAAATCTAAGAAATAGAGAAGAACAGATCACCAATACTCAAGAATAGATCACCAATTTGCAGAGAAATTGAGAAGAACAGATCACCAAAATCAAAATCAAAATAAAAAAAAAAAAAAAAAGAAGAACAAAGAAAGGAGAGGAGGAAGAAGCCGCCACCGTCGCCCATCGCCATTGCTCTGTATGTATACACAAATCTGTGTATACACACACACAGGCCGTCGTCCCGTCATCGCCATCACTCCATCACGCCATTGCTCCGTCGTCCCGTCGTCTCCATTACGCCGTTGCTCTTCTCTCTTCCTCCCTCTTCTCTCTCTCTTCTTCTCCCTTCTCCTTTCTTCTTTCTCCCTTCTCTCTTTTCTGTTCTCCCTGTTTAAGGAGAGGGAAAAAAAAATGATAATAGCGTCGTTTTCAATTTCGGGCCAATCGAGCCTTGAAATTTTCGAGGCCACAAGCTTTATTGATAATATATTAGGATTTAACATTTCTTAAGTTATTAAGTTAACGGATTTGGTTGGTAGCTCGAAATTTAGGGGCCTGAATGCCCCTAAATTTCCATATAAGGCAAAAAAAAAAAAATAAGGCAAAAAAAAAAAGAAAAAAAAAAACAAACTTATCCAAAAAAGGAAATTAGGGCCATTAGGGCCACTGTTTTTAGGGCCACAATTCATTTTCCTTAAGTTAATAAGTTAATTTAGTATTAGTATCTATATGTTTGAATTATATTTATTTTAAAAAAATAGATAACAAATTTAATTTCAAGAATAGTCATCTGTATTTAGTAGTACAAATTTAATTCAAATATATAATTATATATCTAATTATTTTAATTTTTTATATAAATATTTTATTTAACAAGTTTTAAAAAATGAATAATTTGAATCATCAAAATTAATTCTAAAATAAACTTTCTCTCTTTATGCTTTGTTTTATTGAAAATTATAATTTATTGTAAGTTTAATATATATATATATATATATATATATATATTATAGTGATAAATTTTATAACTATTAATAATTAAAATCACAAATATTTTTATAAATTTATAATTATTTTTGTAAACACTATCATTAAATTGTTATTTTTCATTTTTTTTGATGTGATAATTTCCAAGAGTGTGCTTTGGCCTGCCTATCTTCAGCAGCGTTAGTTTCTTTGTTTTGCTAGTTTGTTTTTATTGGTTTTACAATCATCAGTACACTTAAGTGTACATATCAATTTTTACAAAAACGAGACATAAATATAAACTAAGACGTAGATTTTGTTTCTTTGTTTTGCTAGTTTGATTTTATTGGTTTTGCAATCATCAGTACATTTAAGTGTACATATTAATTTTTACAGAATGAGATGTAAATATAAACTAAGTCGTAGGTTTTGTACATGATAGAGTGTAGGACTTATAGTTTCTCTTACATTTATATTGTATTTTGTAAAATTATTTTGTATTTGTAACACAATTGTACAAAAATTCTACTTGGACATAAAAGGAGACAAAAACAGTATCAGAAGTGCCAATTCTTCTAAAATTAAAACCATTTAAAAAAGCATTGTCGAGAAAAATAGGCAGCTCAATAGAACAAAGCCGGCTGTGACGCGGTCTGTAAATGTTTTTAAATAAAAAGTGGTATCATCATTTTGTCCGAAGTTCAAGATTTCAAGGCTGAAGAATCAAACACTTCCAAAGTAATAATTTTAAAAAATAATGGTATCATAAAGGTTCAAGATTTCAAGATTCAACAATCAAACACTTCCAAAATCGAACAGTAAAATTTGACCGGTGTTTTATCCCACCTATGAAACTCAAGTTGTGACCAATTATATGTTACTTCTTGTCCGTTTTATGACTTTTTCCGATACTTCCGTTTCGTGTAGAAACATATTATTTTAATAATTTTTTAATTTTTTATGAAAATATGTACATAAAAATAGAGAGAGTGACGTGACAACTTATAATAACTTTTTAACTAGAATGCATAGTTGACAAACAAGAGCCTCATTTTTCTTATTATTAAAGGACAAGTTATTATAAATTTTATACTGGAGGTGGTAATTGACAATTTTATAATGAAAAATTAACTTTATAAATTATGAAAATTTTATTTTCATTCTACTTTTTTTTTTTTATAAATATACTTTAAAATTTATTGCATGGAGAATTGACTTATGGGTAATTTTGAACATTAAAAATAAATGTAAAATATATTTAATTAAGAATTACTCTCCACTAATTTATTTATTTATTTTTTATTTGGAAATTTAAAAAAAAAAGTTAGTCAAATTGAGCTAT